GATCTGAAAATTGTTGGTTTGAGTCAAAACAGTCCTATCATAGTAAATTGGGATTGTTGAGAACAAAGAAACTAAGCAAGAACTTTCCATAAATGCTCCATCAGACTTGTGAAAATAAAAAAATATTCCATGAACTGTACTTTACCTTTCAGGGGATAGCAGATTGGATTTTTAACATGATGGATAAGGATTTCATTGCTATTCAAAATCAGGTGGGATACTGATTTCATGTCAGCCACCTCTATACAAAATCTTTACTAAAAATGCACATTTATAACCACATTTCTTGAGAAATACTATTGAAGTATTGATTCAACCAGTTTGTTCGTACGTCAAATTGTATACTGTATACATGAAGCAAGTAAGATGGCTGCAATATTTCATGGGTGCTGCATCATACACACACAAAACTATACATACAAGACAATCCACTTTTATTAACTTTTAGCTTAAGCCATCTACATCAAGACAATCACGTTGGGAACACACTCCCAATCACAGTACATAGATTTTGGCGAAAATAATCAGGACATCAAATTTCTAGTATCTACAAAAAAAATCCTCTGTGGAATTGTGCCAGAATACCATCACTACGATCATAAATAAGTAAATCAAAATAGTGAGCACACGCACCATAACAGGTTTCTTATCTAGAGCCACTGCCGGGTGTGGCTCACAACCCATTCCAAAATGAATGTTTTCTATCAAGATTTCTGTGCATCCCAGCTAACATGAATAGAATTTTATTGGTAAAAATTTCATCTCAGTTTTTGTAAAAGTTGTTGATTTACTTGAGAAAACATTTGTTGCAGGAATATTGGAAAACTGTACAAGACTATGTTTAACTTAGTGTTTAATACTAACAAGCAAGTAACCATCATAAAGTACTGTGCATCTAACACTGGTCTTTTTATACAAAACAAAACTTGGTCATTTATTGCAAATTACAGATGCTGACAGCTGGTTTCCAGCGATTATCTGTGTGGCAGCATGCCCAACCAAGACTTGCAATATACACATCATTGAATTATCTTATTTTGCGTCTGGTGATATTTTTTTATTAAGATGTGATTCAGGTATAATTAATGAGCAATTTTGTCTTCTGTATTGGTAGGGAACAGCTATGATAATGTACTATCAGCAAATACAATAACTGAATATTTTGATGAATGACTGTACCAAAGATTGTGTCAAATAGAATGCCAATTATGTGATGTCCATAACTTGTGTAGAAAGAGTTCTAAATTCACAGAGGCAGTGGAGGTGACTGCCTCAATGCCCACCCAAATGTCTTGATTCCCTTTATTAGTACTTTATGCACAATTTCAATCAGTCCAAAGCATTTTTAGAAACTTTGACCTTAAAACTGAGCTCTCTGAGAATACCAATGTTCAAGGCTTGAATCTATATAACAATTTGTAATTGCTCCAAAAAAAACTGAACTGACAGACATCAGCAAATTTATTATTCATTTGTGACAACTTCTATGTTGATTTTCTAACCAAATCTGACCAAAGTTTGCAGTTATCTAGGAATCCACAGCTGTCAGCATTAATTCATTGCAATACTGAATGTCATGAATATATTTAGCTGATTGGGATAGCAGCTAGTCCCCATGCAGCAACCACAGACCATAAGCATACAGCATAGCCAGACCTGTACAAGTTACGCATCTCAAAACCATATCCCATGTCCCAGAACTGAAAGAAATAAAAACAAAGATTTACTATAAAATGTGCATTACTGTCCACTCAGTGGATGTACATACACTATTTTTACCATTGGTATATTAAGTTTGGTTAATTTTGAGGGTTTGGGTTGCAGAGACAGACTAGAATTTGGTATGTTGAAAAAACAAACAAGCTGCTCTGATTGGTCTGACTGTTAGGGTCAGGTACAGCCTGTCAGGTAGCCTATCAGGTACAGCCTATCAGGTACAGCCTATCAGGTAGCCTGTCAGGTACAGCCTGTCAGGTAGCCTATCAGGTACAGCCTGTCAGGTACAGCCTGTCAGGTACAGCCTGTCAGGTACAGCCTATCAGGTAGCCTATCAGGTAGCCTATCAGGTACAGCCTTTTAAGTTAATTCACATTAACTCAAATACAATTTAGATCAACTGCCTGAATTAGCATTTGTGAAATCAGTCATTTAAGTGCGGCAATAATTTCGGCTCACCGAGAAGAACTGAACTTTATATACATGTGTCAGTGGTCAAAATAAGACATTCGTATAACCTTATTTTGATTGCATTTTAGCTAAAATTTTAGCTGCTTTGTATGAAGTTTATGTACACTGATTTTTGAAAATAAAATATAGGAATAAAATGAATTTTCACTAGATTTTCTTTACACTGAATCATCCCTTCAGCGAAAATAGATTCAAAGTAAAAAAAAGGTATTTTTTGGTATTTAGTCATGTCAGTATAGAAGTACATGGGGATGGTAAGTTAGTTGATGTCGAAACTTGCTGATGCAAAGTAGATTTTATCATCAGTGCAGACTGTGCAACTTTGTCTGTTTTATTTGACTTACCAGATGTCTAACACCATTGCCCAAATGGTACATCAATGGCCATGCAATAGTGGCTTTGCCTGCATAGTACACCCACCATGGTAACTCTAGACCTTTGACCCAGTCAACATAAAACATGAAGTCATGTGGTAAAACATTCATTCCTACAGCAAATGTAGCAATGGCTGCAAAATAAACAAAGAATCAGTTATTACATTAACCTGTTTGTAATCACCTCTATATAACAGACTACCTGCTATAGTGACCAATTTTATGCATGAACAACCTGTATATAAAAGACCACCTTAATATACGACAACACTTTCAGCAATATTTTTGCTGACTCAGCTTATTCAGAGACCAAAATAATAATGAGCATTTAGTTTACAGAAGAATTTTTAATTTTCTCTTTTCAAACTTTTTATGTTTTGATAAACGGTTTGTTACAAAAGTACCATCTTATTATTTTTTGGACAAATATTTTATCAATCGTACAATTGTGCGATCCATAAAAACAATAATCCATCCATCATATAAAAACCATTTGTCTATAAAAACATATTAGTGTAAAATCTATGTAAGGCTATACAAGGCTGCTGAAGGCAACATTAACATTACTAATATGCACATGCACCAATTCCTTTGCCTTAGTCATGATAAACTTGTAACTGATAAGATATGATTACATGATGAGCAAGTGACTGCAGAAATAAAATTGCAAGCAAAAGCAAGTTCAAAGAAGACTGCAGACAGACTGAATAAGCAAATGCTGAAGATAATGGAGATAATTTCATTTTTATTTTTTGTCATCTCTCTTGTATTACTCATTCATATCAAGTTAGTTCACATCCATGAAAACAACAATAGTAAGTTTTCTTTGTACTTACAGCACATCATTATAGCTCCTGTTGCTCTGTGGGTTATAGATAATATTGCTGTCAGCTGGGGCTGTAACCAAAATACAATGAATCATGTTAGCATGTAACTTATGAGATAACAAGGGATGAGATAACAAGTTTATTTAACTTTCATGTTTTTCTGAATGTGGTACAGAACATCATACAAGTTTTATAGCCATATTTCTCACAAAGCATGATTTTGGATTCTTCTTAAAGCCTTTATCTTGGTAAAATTAGAAGTGCCTGTAAAAACATGCGCTAAATCAGAATTGGTATACATGTAGTGTATAGCAAAGGACATAAAATGACAGCATGTTGAATTGTATTAAAATATGCTAGAGAGAATAGCAATGCGAAATGAATCTATGGCAGATGGCCATACACCAGTCTGGTCTTTGGCTAACCATTCACCAATTTAGTTACAACAAATTATGGAACCTTCGACACAAATAAAGATATCAATTATAAACAAAATTCACCCAGAGCAAACGTTAATTTATCAAGAAAAGATCACATTGTATAAAAAGTTTATGCAACACATTTGATAAATACTGTGATCTTATATTGTTTTTTCCCCCTGTTACTCAAAATCTTAAACAAGTTGGATTTTTGCTACGGATCAGGAGAATATTTCCTTTTTTATAAACTGTTGCCCAAGAAACATACTGGGAATATATAGTGGTCAAACCGGATTAGTAACCAAGAGCTCTGGGAACAAACAAACCAGATATCTCCCACAAATCAGCTGAAGAAAAGAAAATGGACTTGGATTGGTCATACACTAAGGAAAGAGCCAGGAACCATCACTAGAAAGGCATTGCAATGGAATCCACAGGGGAAGAGAAATAGAGGAAGACCAAGAAACACCTGGTGTAGAACATGGGAACAGGAAATGAAGAAGATGGGGCACACCATCACCAGACTAGCCCAGAGCAGAAGAGAGTGGAAGGAGACTGACGATGGCCTATGCTCTACAGGGAGTTGAAAGGCTAAAAAAGAAGAAGAATCTCGGGGAAAGGAACCTGGCCTTGTTATATTAAAAACAACTGCCAATTGGTAAATTCATGCTGCATCTGACATTAGACTGCTAGATCAGTGAAATAGGAATAACTTACATCATAAATCCAGAAAGGTGAGCGAGGTCGGCCAAGCGCATACTGCTTGTTCCAGAATGTTTCATTTTGGAATTCATAAAACTCTTCTTTTTCTTTTTTATCCTCTAAAGCATATAGTGGTACTTTACTTGGAGCTGATGTAGTGGTAGCAGGAGCAATCCTGCAATAAAAACAACCAGTATACATTAACATAAAATGAACTTAATTAAGGTAGCGAGATAGTTTTTTGGCATGGAAAATGTAAACATCTATAATCGGAGTAAATTTTACAAGAACCTATACAATCTATATATGTTTGGAAAGCCCTTGACTTGTACTTTTCTATTATTAATATTTTGTGAACACTGTGTTTGTTTTAGCGTCACGTGATTCTGAAAAACGGCGCGGCTGATAATTAACTAACGTGAATACATTTAAATTAAACGTTTAAATCCGTATTTCTATTTTTTAAATTAAGTTTTTTTTCCTA